GGGAGTCGGCGGCGCGCGTCGGGCGGCGCCGTGACGTCACGTCTGCGGAGCGGGCGCCGCGCGCCGGCTGGAGCGGCGGGCGCGGGCGCGTGCGGGGCGCGGGCGGGCAGCGGGCGGCGGCGGCATGGCGGAGAGCGAGGCCGAGACCCCCAGCACCCCGGGGGAGTTCGAGAGCAAGTACTTCGAGTTCCACGGCGTGCGGCTGCCGCCCTTCTGCCGCGGGAAGATGGAGGAGATCGCCAACTTCCCGGTGCGGCCCAGCGACGTGTGGATCGTCACCTACCCCAAGTCCGGTGAGCGCCGCGCGGGGCCGCCCGCGGCTGTGTGACCTTGCGCGGTCCCGCACCTCTCTGTTCCCGGCCCTGGGCCTCGGCTGCGGGCGGGCGGGGGGGTAGGGGGGGAATGGGAGCAGCCCTGCCCCGCGCGCCGGCGCCCGCTCGCCGCGCCGGAGCCGGCCCTCGCTGACGTCACGCCCACCGCAGCCCGGGAGGGAGGCGGCGACCGTTCGCACCCAGCCCGCGGGGCCCAGAGAGGCAGGCGGCTCGCCCAAGGTCACACAGCCGGCGAGCGGCCGGGGCCGGGCCCGAGCGGCCTCTGTGTGGCGTGGCGAACGCCCGCGGGGTGTCTGGGGTCGCCGCTGCATTCCGGGGGGACCGGCCTAGGGGGCTCGGAAAGCGGCTGGGCTTGCGGTCACGCTGGGCCAGGCTTGGGTAGGGGCTGCAGTGTCCAGTCTCGGCCTCCGCCGCCCTGCGGGAGGCTGGGAAGGGGCTGCTGCGCTTGGCGGGCGGGGGTGCCTGCAGCGCTGGGGGATGGGAGCGGAGGAGCCGGGCGCCAGGCCTGGCCCGGCGTGGGTGGGGGCTGTCTCGTGGAAGGACACAGCTACCGAGTGCGCTGTGTGCCCGGGAAGTGAGATAAATCGGGGTTCCGGGCAGCCTGGGGTGAGCGGGGGACAGAGTGACTTTGGGAGTGGGGGGAGGCGCTCCTGTCCACACTGGGGCCATGGAGGTGGAGGTGGGGCCTCAGCTCCTGGGAGGGGCTTGTGGCTCTGCTGCCCCGGGGCAGCAGTGAGGTGGGGGTGGGGGGCTCGCTGGCCACGCTGTGGTCTTGGGGAACCCCGCAGAGGGACTGGGGGGCTCTGCGGGGGGACGGCCTGGGTGCTGGATGGAGATTGATGTGTTGGTCTCTAGGAAGATTTCCAGATCACCAAAAGCCCTGTCTTGTTAGTAACCTGCACGTCTCACAAACTGGCACGCCTTAGATGCTTGAGTTTTGGTTTATTTGTTTGAAAGGCTGAGTGACAGAGAGAGATCTTCGCCCACTGGTTCACTTCCCCCAGTGCTCTCACAGGCCGGAGCCAGGAGCTCCACCCGGGTCTCCCAAGTGGGTGGCAGGGGCCCAGGTGCTGAGGCCACGTCCACGCCCCACCCCCAGTCCTGGGAGCTCTGCTGTGGGTGCTGGCGTCCCCGGGGTAGCCCAGCCCACCCACAGGACAGCAGCCGCCCCACACCCCGGGCTTTTCGTGGGGCAGCAGCCGCGCTGGCTCTGCAGCAGTGGCCTAGGCCCTGGGTCAGGTCTCACAGAAAGCCCTAGAGCTGTTGGCTGAGGAGTTACCCCCCTGTGGCCTTCCTCTCCCTCCGTCCACCCCTGCTTTCCCCTTTTGTCTCACACCTGAGGGTCAGGCGGTCTGAGGACAGCCAAGAGCCAGCACACGGCCGGCCGGGCAGCTGTCCACCCGCCGTGCCCGTTCCTGGTGACTTAAGTGCATCGTCACCGCAAATGCGGCAGGGGCTCGGGCCGGCTCCCATTTCCCAGGTCAGGGAGCGGAGGCCCTGGCTGTCTGTCCCAGGTCGGGGAGTGGAGGCCCTGGCTGTCTGTCCCAGGTCAGGGAGCGGAGGCTCTGGCTGTCTGTCCCAGGTCGGGGAGCGGAGGCCCTGGCTGTCTGGGGGCCTCGCCGCAGCCTCTGTGGCCAGCGAGGCCTTGAACTGCGGGCCTGGGGTGCTTCCCGGGGTCGAGGGTGGGCCAGGGGCACGGGCGGGCTGCCGGCCCCCATTCCCTCCTGCTGTCCCCCTTCTTCCTGGTCCTCACGGCCCCTGTCTCTCTCCAGCATCCCGGGGTCGGGCGGCCTCGGTGAGCCTTGTCTTCGGGAGAGAGGCCCGGTGGCTGTAGCCAGCGCGTGTGGAGATTCTCCTCTGCTGCCCCCTCTACCCTGCTTATACAACGCGGGACGTGAAGTGGGCGGGGCTGACGCAGGCGCCCCACCTGTCTGCCCCTGTTTCAGGCCAGAAGCGCCTGGGAGCCGCCCGCGGGGCAGCAGGGCAGCAAGAAGGGCCCGTGGGTTGGGATCCGGGGCTGTCACCAGCAGCACACGCCCGTGTGGGTTGGGTGGGACCTTGGGTGCTTTCGGAACGGTTGAGCGCCCCCAGCTTCCACAGCCGCTTGTCCAGAGCTGCGTGCCCAGTGCTCTCCCGCTGTCGGGCGTAAGGGGGCTTTTTATTTCCCCTGTCAGAGGCTCGGGGGCAGGAGCCTGCTCGTCTCACAGCTCCAGGGGGACAGAGGCCAGGCCTGACCGGGTCCCTTGGTCCACGGCCACCTTCTCCTGCTCCGTGGGAGCTCTGTTGTCCTTGGGAACTCAGGTGGCCGCGGGGCTGTGGCCCCAAGGAGGAGGGAGGGTCCACCTTCTTTGAGCGTACTCTGTAGGGATGGGGTCGCAGGCCCAGGCTGAGCGCCCTGCAGGTAGGCTCCAGACGGCCCCCTTCTTCTCTGCTCCTTGTTGTCCCTGCCGACCGTGGTGCATCTGTGGGAGCCCCCCCGCCCCAGCTTTGCAGCTGAAGGGCCTGGATTCACTGCCGCTTTGCAGCTTAGCAGCCGGGGCCCTGGACCAGAGACAGAGCCCCGTTCCAGCTGTGGTTTCTGCAGAGAGGTGAGCCTGTCCCTCCCCGGCGATGTGTGCTGTGAGGACGGCAGACGTAGCACCCAGAGCTTCGTGGGGAGGGCTCTGGGCTTTGGGCCACACCTCCCCACCCCCCGCACCTGCTGAGCCAGAGGCTCCCAAGTCTGGGCAGACCCCGGGAGAGGCCCATCTGGTGCCTGTCCTCGGGGGCTCGCGGGCTGCTGGGAGGCGGGGTGTGGTTGGTAGACCTGCAGACGGGAGCTCGCCCCGGCTCTGGCACAGGACCCGCCAGCGCAGGTCAGCTGTTCACATTCCACGATGTAAAAGTGGAAATTGAGTTTCTCAGGAGCGCTGAGGGGGAGGGGGAGGGGGAGGGGAAAGAGAGGAGAGGGGAGAGGGTCCCCGGGGTCGCTCCAGCCCCGGCTGCCAGTCAGACAGCTCACAGGCGGGGCACCGGCTCTGCTGCTGGATTTGGCAGAGAGAGAATCCTCCATCTTTGATTCACTCCCAAGTCCCCTAAAGAGTGAGGGCTGGGCCGGGCCAAAGCCAGGAGCCCAAAACTCCAGCGGGGTCTCCCATGTGGGTGGCAGGGGCCCCAGCACTTGAGCCCTCAGCTGCTCCTCCTGGGGTGCGCGTTACAGGAAGCTGGATTGGAAGCGGGGGAGCTGGAGTCGAGCCAGGCCCTGTGATGTGGGATACGGGTGGCCCCACGGCGCTCTGGCCCCAGGAGTGCCGTGTCTGGGAGATCCCACTGTGTTGCCGGTTGGAGGTGTTGCTGGCGCCACTTTGTAACCGGAGGTTGCTGGCTGCCCGCGGGCGTCCTGAGCGCTGGCTGCGGGGGCTCTGCCATGGTGTGGGGCCGCCCTGGCTGCGGATTCCCGGGGTCCTGCCCACCTTGACTTGCATGCGCCTCTCCACCTGTGACAGACACAGCACAGGCTGGCCACAGGGTAACATCGCCACGTGGGGCTGGCCATGGGGTGAGCCAGGCCCGGCCCCGCCACATCCCCATGTGGGGCCAGCAATGGGGTGAGCCAGGCCTGGACCAGCCACATCCCCACGTGGGGCCGGCCACAGGGTGAGCCAGGCCCAGCCCCACTACATCCACACGGGGCGAGCCAGGCCCTGTCCCGCACATCCCCACGTGGGGCTGGCCACAGCCTGACATCTGCACGTGGGGCCGGCCACGGGCTGAGCCAGGCCCTGCCACCCCCCCACGCAGCCTTGGGGAGCCTGACAGGAGAGGAACAGATGTCCTGTGCGTGACAGTGAGTGAGGTGACGCTGTCCTGTGTGTGTGTCACAGTGAGTGAGGTGACGCTGTCCTGTGTGTGTCACTGTGAGGTGACGCTGTCCTGTGTGTCACAATGAGTGAGTTGACGCTGTGCTGTGTGTGTGTCACAGTGAGTGAGGTGACACTGTCCTGTGTGTGTGTCACAGTGAGTGAGGTGACGCTGTCCTGTGTGTGTGTGTGACAGTGAGTGAGGTGACGCTGTCCTGTGTGTGTCACAGTGAGTGAGGTGATACTGTCCTGTTTGTCACAGTGAGTGAGGTGACGCTGTCCTGTTTGTCACAGTGAGTGAGGTGACGCTGTCCTGTGTGTGTCACAGTGAGGTGACGCTGTCCTGTTTGTCACAATGAGTGAGGTGACACTGTCCTGTGTGTCACTGTGAGTGAGGTGACGTTGTCCTGTGTGTGTCACTTTGTGAGGTGACGCTGTCCTGTGTGTGTGTGTCACAGTGAGCGAGGTGATGCTGTCCTGTGTGTGTGACAGTGAGGTGACGCTGTCTTGTGTGTGTGTCACAGTGAGCGAGGTGACGCTGTCCTGTGTGTGTGTGTCACTGTAGGTGAGGTGACGCTGTCCTGTGTGTGTGTGACGGTGAGTGAGGTGATGCTGTCCTGTGTGTGTGTCACAGTGAGTGAGGTGACGCTGTCCTGTGTGTGTCACAGTGAGTGAGGTGACGCTGTCCTGTGTGTGACACAGTGAGTGGGGTGATGCTGTCCTGTGTGTGTCACAGTGAGTGAGGTGACGCTGTCCTGTGTGTGTGTGACACTGAGTGAGGTGACGCTGTCCTGTGTGTGTCACAGTGAGTGAGGTGACGCTGTCCTGTGTGTGTCACAGTGAGTGAGGTGACGCTGTCCTGTGTGTCACTGTGAGTGAGGTGACTCTGTCCTGTGTGTGTGTGTGAGACGGTGAGTGAGGTGACGCTGTCCTGTGTGTGTCACAGTGAGTGAGGTGACACTGTCCTGTGTGTGTGTGACACTGAGTGAGGTGACGCTGTCCTGTGTGTGTCACAGTGAGTGAGGTGACGCTGTGTGTGGTGTTGGGTGAGTGTGTTTGTGTGGTTTGTAGGGCACATGTAACATATATATGTGTCTGGGTGTGGTGTATATAGCGTGTATG